AACCTCTACGCCTCCTATCTGAGATGTGTAGTGAACAAAAGACACTGTTAAATCCACCTCGGACACCCCGCTGGTCTTGGTGCATCTTGTGACATTTAGTCTTTCTCAACGTCACTCCAACAGCTTTTATTTCCCAACAGAGGAGGAGACGGTCAGGCTCAAGTTGATGGTGTAATTGAAGATTTTCTTAGAACCTCTTCCTGTCACTGGTCAGGAAGAGCAGAAGGAAGCTGGTGGTAGGGCTGCTCGATTACGGCAAAAATAACAATCACGATTATTGTGACTTATTAGTTATCAGCAGGGCCGTGTCCAGGGAGTGGCCTGGGGTAGCATATGCCACCCTTGGAATCTGAATGGCCACCCCAGGTGTCACCACACTAATTTACCTTCAAAAAGGTTTTTCATTGTCCACAAAAGGCTTGGGGGTGAAACAAAAAAAGCATAACCATTGGTGCCACCCATGCACAAAGTTGTGCCTCACTTGGGCCACCCCAGTTTAAAAGATCTGGACACGCCACTGGTTATCAGCGTGAGGAACTTATTTCTATCTATTTCTATTTTATTTATAAACTATTTATTTACAGGTCCATCAGTTAATGTAATGATTGTCCCAACCACAGCTGCACCCCCCACCTGGTCTCACAGCAATCAGGGGTAAGCTGTAGGTGTGTTAGCCGCACGCGCACATTTAGCTGTTTTTAGCGGCTCAGGAGCCCGCAGGTGCGGTTTGTGTCACTCACTCTGGTTAATCCAACAGGGAGCCGGCTCTGAGAGCCGTTTCTTTAGCGACCGACACATCACTACATCATTCCCTTTCCTAATGTCCTGAAGAACGGTCCGGAGCACAGGCGGAGTGTTTAGCTAACCTGCAGGAAATGTCGACGACAGTTATCCAGAAAGTAGCTAAGGGTTACCAGAGATGTTTCTGAGGTGTTCGCTAGATATTTTTACGATTTAAAAAGTCAAGAAGGGGGTCTGAAAAGCTGTTAGAAATAGCGTCAAAGTCGCTAAGTTGGCAACACTGAGGAGCGCTTCATTTGTAACTCAGGGCAGCGCAAGTGGGAGGAGCAAAGAATCGGTTTTGTTTTTATAATCGTTCAAAACTCAGATCGTAATTGGGATTAAAATTCGATTAATTGAGCATCCCTAGCTGGAGGGAACTTCACTATTTTAAATTTGTCTTTTTGAGGAGGAAAATAAGTTTGTAATGTGAAACATCCTGTTTGCTATCCCAGATTCTCCAACTTGTTCAAGAGAACAAGTTTGCTGCTCACTAACTACCCCTTAGACTACTTTTTTGGGACACGCAGTGAACTGATTTATTGCATCTGTCACATTGTGTGAGAGGAACTGTTCCTCAGCCTGTAGTGTGTGAAACTTTGTTGCAGCTCACAATGGCCCAGGAGCCCTGATAAGTGGCCAAATGCAACCCTATAAGTTAGGAAAGCAATAAAAAGGCTGGTTTAGCCTGCCCACTCAGCCAGGACATGGATGTTAAATGTGCCATGTGGTTGGGTGGTGTGGAAAAGTGAGGGACAAAGTGACACAAACCACGAGCTAATGATCTACCTGGCACCGGTTCATAGTTTGGATAGGTACATCCTGGGACGTGCGGGTGTAATGGGGTGTGTTCTTCTTCTGACGCCTTAAACCAGCTTTGCTCTGAAGCAGCCGCTCCCCCCTCACTCTTAGCAGCTAGGAGACGGTGTGGGCTTTTGGGTATGCTGCGTTAGACACCCCAAGCTGCTGTTATTCAACAACAAAGTAAATACGTTAAATTCTAGAGTCCCTTTAAAGAGCAACATAATCACGTGACATATTTTCACAACAGTTGCTCTTGACTCATGCATTTACGTCTGAATGATTCTCCTCCTTTTATTGGGGCTACCATGGAAACATGTTCTGCCACCTAGAGAATTCAGAGCATTTGACCCTACAGAGATTCTTTTGACACCAAAAACAAAACAGGACATCATCAGAACATAATCAATGAATATCTATTTTTCGAATCTTTAAAATTCCCCTTTTTGCCTCGTTTTGGGAAATTCCAACAGCCCTGGGGAAATAAAATCAAGCTATTAATAAAATCTTCATTCTTACTCCATCTGTAAACTACAGCTGGCAATTTCATTCCTGCCGATTAAAGTCAGAGGACAGATTAGGAGTGAAATAATTTCTGATTGAAGATTATTACAATTCAGGCCCTGTCCACACGTAGCCGGGGATCTGCCAAAACGTAGATATTTTTCTATGTTTTGGCCTGTCATCCACACGAAAACTGAGTTTTTTCACATGAAAACGGATCTTTTGAAAAACTCCGGCCAAAGTGAAGATCTGCGTTTTCTCCGTTTTGGGTGTCTGCGTGTGGACGGACAAAACCGGAGTTTTAAGGTCCGCAACGTCACTTTCCGCGACAAAAAAATGCTGACATCACGTGTGCGACCTGTGTTTACACTAGCCGACAGCATGGATGCCCTCAGAGCTGCGCTCGCTTTATCAA